ACTCAGACAACCCTATAGCAGTACGCTTGGACATTGTCCGGTTGGCACTTTATGCTTTTGAGCAACAATATTTGAAACAAGTCCAATCGCACCAAACCAAAACGCGTGTTCTTTGACTTTTCGCCAACGACACCGACAACTCCGACTACAGGCGATAGGAAATAAAAATAGAGCCGGAAAACCATGACTCCTGACAACAGAACACGGTTGCGCTAAGTCACAACACGTATCGTCAACGGACACCAGCACAAGCTACATCATCCCCAACAAAAACAAACCTCTGCTTCTTCTGTCTCACCGGTCCTTCCCGGCTTGTCCCCCCTGACTCGCCGCCGGCTGTCCCCGCGTAGTCTCCCCGAATCGGCCGCCGAACCGGCCGCCGTGACCGCGGCCCCGGCCACGGTTGTTGTTCCAGCGGTTACGCGGTCCGAACCGGTTCTGCTTGGACTTCGTGGTGTCCACCAGGCGGAACGCCTCGTCCTGATTGGTTCGTTCGTCATGTTGGCGAGACAACAAGAAGAACAAGAGGGGGGCCGAATCGGTGTTAAGTGAAGCTCCAACACAACTAAGGTGGTGACGACTATGACAAAAGAGCGATACACTGCTGTTCTGGTAGGTGGCAAGGTTTCGGGCCGTTGTCATCAACTCGGGACGCTATCATTGTCGCCGTAGAGAAAAAAAAATGCAACCCTCGTTGTCAATCACCGCGGTCGGGATGCATTACCATGGTACGGTATCATGGCCTTGGTAATCCATAATCGAAAACGCCTAGAATATAAAAACCCAATGGGTCCGAGGCAACACCACCGTTGCATCGAAGGAAGGCCTCCGACTACTGTACCGACCGAAACAAGGATCTCAACACCTCAACAACCGTAAATGACACAAGACAACACACCCCCTAGACCGATTTTCAAATCTCGATTCCTCGACAGCAGAAAGAGCCAGCGCCGACAATGGTGGCGTTGAAGCAGTCCCGTCAAGAGCTTTCCAAAAATGTATTGTTCACTTACGCATCCTCTTCGTCGTGGCGTAATCGAGCTTTGACAAGTTATCCAGGGGGGGGTATTATCTTGTGTCATATAGGGTATGAACGTGTCGTGTGTGAACACCTCAACATCATACTGTGGTCACAACGGCTGGTACTTGAGCAGCTGCTGCGGTGCTATCAAGCACGGCAAAGGCGCTGACGAATTGATCACCCTTTTAGTCCGCATGACTCCTGGTTTTGGCCCCGGGCAGGTTTCCGCGTTGTGGTTCATTTACACAAGGTACATGGTACTCTATTCATGGCACTCGAGCGTTCGCTGAGATGGGGAGTGGTATCCGGACGATACATATGTTCTCTTGTCCAGCAAAAAAAAACGCAAGACACAACAAACGCCGCCTGAGTGCCGTTGCTACTTGCCGTACGTTGAACACGTTAGATATGACACCCCCTCGACTGATTTTCAAAACTCTATTACCGGAAGGATAAACAGCAGAGACGGCGCCGAGAATGGAGGGGTTGGAGCCGTCTCGCCCAGAGCACCCGAAAACGCATCATTTGAGTTCGACGTCCTCTTCGCAGTGGAAAAATCGAGTTGTGAAAATCGGTCCTGGGGTAAGGTATCTTGACACACCTATGGCACGGTCTTCGGCCTCTCACCTCCTCATTGTCGTACTTGTACTGGAACTCCGCGTTGACGGCGTTATCCTCCCCACGTCGGTTACCTAGTTCCAGTTCGCAATGCAGCAATTACGCCGCCACCAAATGACACAACACGGAAAGGAGGCAGACACAGCAGGAGCGGCGACGGAGACGGGAGGCAGCACCAGCGACAAGCACGCCAAGTGCAGCCCGGCGTTGGTGTTGCGGTGAGAAGGGGCCAGGCGCGGAATAGGCAGCATGACGTCATCTCTCAACGAGGACAACAGTCGGTGGGAGGAGCTTGGCCGGCTGCGTGATGACAGCAACAGCCCAGTACAACCACAGCCACAACAGCAGATGCAACAGATTTAAAACACAAATGCACAACAGCTGGGGCAAGAGCAACCAAGCACTGCGAGCGATGTGGAAGCTCTTACGACGACGTACTTGCGAGGGTCATGTACGCTTCAGATTACAACTCAACTGCAGCGGGGTTAGCGTGGCACCGTCACCGCCCTGCAGTAGTTTGCCCCTCTCAAGTCCACGCCAACACACACAAGCAAACCCGCTTCCCATAACTTCTAAGTAAACAAAGAGGCACATATGAAAAAGAAGGCCCGCCCCACAGACTCACGGAAGCTCCGGTTCTGGAAGTACACGGGGGCCGTGAAGTCGGCCGCCCTTCCGATGCGATCGCTCTTGCCGAACGGCGCGTACGGGACGTCCAGGAACTGCTCAGGCAACGCACTGCACGCAACCCGAAGACAAGAAAAGAAAGAGGCCCAAGAAAAATCAGCATGTACTGTACATGGGAAGCGACACGACCAAGGCACACACGCGACCAGAGTAGACAGGATTGGCGGGACCATAAGAAGGCAGAATGCGGCGAAATAGAGGTGCCACGCGGCAGCTAGGGTCAAGACAAGATAGACAGCAGTGGTCGGCACGGAGGTAACAACCACTCCACACGGCTTGTGTGAGGGGGGAGTTCTAGAACGACTGGTGTCGCCCGCCGCGGGTTGCTTACACCGAACGTCGAATTCCGCGACGGCGTGGTGCATCATCGCATGCATGGCCGTACATGAGTGCTCAAAGATGCGCGTTGGGGTGCACCAAAGTGGTTCACGTTGATGCCAAGCAACAAAAGAACATGCCAGCAGAGAGGCGTGCAGATCGTTTACCCGCAATATGTACCCTCGATATCGCTTCAAGAGTTATGCAGTCAAAAAGCCGATACTACTGTCTGTGCATCGTCTTCCTGAGCATAATTCATGTGGTGGGCGGAACGACGTCGGGCCAAAGGCGCATCTACCCGGAAGCAAGCGAATGTCCGACTACCCATGTACTGGTCATGTTACGCTCCCAACAGATTGCACCACAGCAGCAGAGCACCAAAGTTGAGAGAGGAACTTGGTTCTAACCCGGGGTTTGTATGGGGCGACCAGCACTCCACACACCCCAGAACCACGCGCCCCTCTTCGCAACAGCGACACACAGGATAGGTATTCCTCTAGTGTGGCCGATCATCAACACGAACGATGACAGCAATAACCACGGGTTGGGTAACGTCTGTTTCTTGCGTGGACGTCGCCGTAACAGATTGACATGCAAGAGATTTGACAGCGATTATCATGCAGCTGCCTGCCGCGTGTCCGGAATGTTGTAAACTTTATTTGGCATGACGATTAGTCTATTGGGTGTTGAGGCAGCGTAGGACTACGGCATGCTGTTGACGCTGGAATTCGTTTGGCATGATGAGTATGGGTTGTTGGCGCAGTCTACATTAGCAATACGACTTGCTGCTGAGGGATATCGCCATGGAACAAGGATACCGACAAGTGCTCTTGGGCCTTGAAGCTGAGAATAAAAGAGAGACGGATGGATGGGAACGGGGAAGGTGTAGATAAGGCAGTACGGTCCATGGCAGCTCAGAAGTTTTAGAAAATATACCATGATACAATGTTGATTCTTCGAAAAGTACAAAAGTAGTTGTACAGATATAGTTCGATCGATATCCAACAGCAACGTAGCGTCTCTGTGTGTATCGGTGGATCAACGACCACAAATGCACTTCGCGAAACCAACAAGAAGCAAGCCAGCTGGACAACCACTTCCAGCAAGTGGTCTACCAATCACGCTCTGTTGGTTTTCCACAGGCAACGAAGAAACCAGTCCGCCGACACGTTGGGTACACACAAAATGTTCGCTGCTTAGACTATATTATATGGCTGCTGTGTTAGATAGTCCCAGCTCGTGCGACTGCTGTGCCGAGAATCAAACCAACGTCCCAAACGTTAGCAAGCCTTTTACCAACCAAACCCGTCCTGCTGCTGTGCTATGGATACAAAATGTGGTTCGGGAGTCCAGAAGTGGTCGCGTACAAATGGGTATATTGCTGACGGCAATGCACTGCAAAGATGCGGTCACAACGGTTTGGCAATGCAGCTGCGTGGGAGCCGACTCGCGCACCAGAATGGTACCAGTAAGTGGTGACAGCAAGCTTTCGGGGTACATACATCGTTGGTGCAGCGGCGTTGGGTGACGGACACCGCCCAATCGGCTGATGTTGAGACGACGGGGATGCTGTCACATATAAACACATTTTTGAAAACGAAAAACCTGTTTCCTGTCTGCTGCTGTTGTAAAAGCTGCTGAAGCTTGCACAACGTCGCAAATGGCGAAAGGCAAGATCATGTGGCTATGTCTTCTCCCTGTCTCTTGACGTTGCAACAAGCAGGGCGCAAATGCATGGGGTACACGCAGGCCGCTCCAAGAGGAGCACAGATGACAAGCATGCAGTAGTACCCCACAAGATTGGTCCAGGACCGCGATTTGAAAGCCTCACCTTGCGTCTGGCCCCCAGCCCCCCTCGGCATTGATATGCACGACCGGCGTCGTGAACGTACCCATGTCCTCTCGCTCCATACTACCCTTGGCGCCTGTCAACCGTTCCTCGCCGCTGCTGGTGGTTCAAATCGCTCGCGCCCGCGCTCCTCCTCTGCTCTCCTCTCCTCTCCTTCCTTTTGTGGTGCTCAAGACACGAGCTCCGCCTCCGAAATGGAAATTGGCTGCAAAACAACAACCAAGCGCTGTTTTTTTCCAATGTATCCTGGAGAGCAAGATACCCCCACGAGCCTGCTGCGCTACCTCTCTCTCTCTCTCTCTCTCTCTCGGTTTCGGTGGAAAACCGCGGGTTGGTTGCTCGTAGGCACCCCACGAGCCAGCACAACGCACTGATCTCACCCCCTACCCCCCCACCCCCACTTTTTCTACATTTTCTGAAAATATAGGAGTGATTGAGTCAGAAAAATCTACTCCTCTGCGTGGACCCATCGAGAACCCCTCACATTTTTCAGACCGTGTACTGCTGAGTAGTCAACCTCACGTACACTTTGGTAGACAGGACAATGCGGCGCCCGCGGGCATTCACGTGCTCAAAGCTCAAGGCTGAGCCCCTTCCTCCGCCGACCCGAAAGCCGCTGGGCTATGCCCTAACCTCGGCGACAACTAGTGTGCAAGCGAGGTGGGTTTTGATTCTTCATTTTATCTAGATTTGAGGCGTCCCGTCGGGTTAGATTGATATATGTGCACGCGAAGCTCTGCTTTCTGTCCGGTCCCCAAAAGGATCGGTTCTTTCACATGCCTCCTCTCTCTCTCTGCTCGAGAACACGCAGGAGGGCGGGGAAGTGACTTCCCTCGCCGTGGAGGACCGTGTGGTCCTGCTGCAGCCCTTGGTAGCGTTCAAAGCTCATCCCCCATGTGCACGGGTTCGTGCCGAAGTCAGCAGAGCAGGTCTTGGACGCACGTTGCCGTTTCACTTTCAGTCCCGATGATAATGTTGATATGCCCTTTCGCCTCTCTACACTACACAAGGCCTCTCCTCCGTCCCCACCCCTACCCGTCCCTCTCCACGGCACTCACAGCCTACCCAACCTACACAGCAAGACCTCTCACCGCTGCTGCTGTGCTGCTGCTCAACTTGCCTGACGTGCCTTCTATCTTCAACCCTTTTTTTTTTCCTCTCCGCCCCAGCAGTTCTCCTTGTCAGTGCGGAAAGTGCGGGGAATCTCCGGCAGCAGCGTCGTCATCCTCGCCGGCATCACCATCATCGTCACAATCCCCCTCGTCCTCCCGTATCCGCGAGGCCACCTTTGCCGGGGGACACGGCTCCCGGACACCTCTCCTCGCGGAGGCACTCGGCCCGTCGAATAACGGCTCCCCGGCCACCGCCGGCAGACCGCGGTTTCGACGGCTACCCCGGAACGCCCATCTCCCTCGTCGAAGCGTGTTGAACAACCCGCCGCAGTTGCCGGCGCCGCCGTCGACGTCCCTCCTAGCAGCAGGAGGAGGAGAGCTGGAAGAACAAGGAGAAGAACGAGCCGGAGGCCTGCTGGCGCCGCCACCACCGCCGTCCGACCAGCGCAAGCGAGGGAGTGACAGAGGCGAGCCTCGTGGGAGCTTCGTCGCTCCCACTGTCGGCAAGCAGTTTGCCGCTTCTGCTGCCGCCTCGACACCATCGAAGTCTGTTGCGGCTGATGCTACTGCTGCTGCTGCCCCTACGACCGAAGCCGGGGGTTCTACGAGCAGGGCAACGGGCACTAAGCCTGCTACTGCTGCTGCTGCTGATGCTGCCACCCCGGTGGCCGTCAGCGTCGATGCAGCAGGGGACCAGAAGTCTTTCACCACAATGTACTGCGAAGCCGGGGACTCGGTCGCCTCCTTCATCAGGCCCGGCGTGACCTTCATCAAGGTCGACTCGGCTGGAGTCGCCTCCGTTTCCGACGTTAGCGTCATTCAGAACGACGGCAGCGCTAACAGCGGCAACAGCAGCAGCCGCAGCAGCAACAATGCTGCGGGCAGCCGTGCTGGCATGAAGGGCTTCGACGAATGCAAGGCGCCCGCCACAGACGCGAGCGGCGTTTTCTCGATGGGCTCATCTTCATCCAGAGCAGCCTTCGGCCGACGCCGCCGGCGCGTGGGCGGCTGACAAAGCAAGGATTCACGGCGAACGGCGAGGAGATCCCTCGAACGTTCCTGGCGCAAGCCGCGAGACTGCGGGAGGAGGCCGGCGATGTGGGCTACACCGTGGCTGGTAAATGAATCAATTGGATTGATTTGAAGAACGACCGTGCCGGGACGAGGGATGAAGATCTTCCGGTGTTTCGTAGCACCACCGGGTGGTGAGCATGTGGTGATTTTTTAGTCGCGGTATTTCCATCCTCCCCAGACGCTAACCAGAAGCCTCCTGCAGTAGTCAGCCCACCTCTCTGTATGGTTCATAATTTTGATGTATCAGCCAGGGTTCACAAGAGCGTGGGGAAGGTTAAAATAGAACGCGTCCTCCTTCCCTCCCCCCCCCGTTTTTTTCGGCCAGTCACAACAAGGGCTTGGTTGGCAATTGATCGGGCGTGTTTTTTTTTTTCTTGTAGTATACATCAGGCCCCGGAACTTTAGTTCAACCAACGTTGGTCGAGGAGTGTGTGTGGTCTGATGTTGGTTGGATACCTCGTTTTGTCGGTTTCAGGTCAGCTATCGTACGCCGTCATTAACAGGAGTCCAGGAGAGTTTCACGCGTTTCACGCCCAGTCCGTGAAATGTGACGCATGCCCTTCATGTTGTGCCACTTAGGCTGGCCGTTGCTTGCGTTTGCTTGTTCTTTTTTTTTTTTTGCTTTCTCGGCGTGATGTGAAAATGTGCCGACAAGGGCAGTGGCGTCAGTCAACAACAGCTAGTAAACGCGCTCATCGATTTTTTAGAGCCTCTCCGTCCCAGCTGATGCCAGGAATATTTTGGCTGTTGGTGCTGCTGCGTGCGTGTGGCGATTTTTGCGGGAGCTTTCGATTTGTGTGCATGGGTCTGACTGGGTACAGCAGTAACCGTTTACAATTGTATGCATACGATGCTGCTTTGCTGTTGCAATGCTGCTTTGCTATTGCTTGAGGCGTGGCCCTCATCACAGTACTAGCATGTTGTAGTACCTGCATTCGCACCCTCGAAACGGGATAAATCGAATAAAACAGCAGCAGCGTGGTATACTATACATCATAGGTGTCGTATCTTACATACAGAAGTGTATCGTGTGTAGACTACATTTTCGTTGGACTAATAGACGATACATACGATATCTTTGTGGTGCCGCTGTCCGTGTGCTGCTGAGGTCTGCAACGCCAGCGTACGGCGTCTAGAAGGCTGCACCAATCAGGGCGGCCGGTAGGGTCCACGCGGGGGTTAAGGGGGGTGAACGTATTGCGTATGAAAGGTCCCCCAGGGTGGCCTCTTAACTATTTGTTGTTGATCGGGGAGTTGTTTGCGTTGAGTTTTGCCTGGCCATCACTTTGGGTGACGCCCGCCTCAGGCGTGGGACTGGAAATCCTTGACGGTTTCATTTTTTCTTCTGTCTTCCCCTCGACGTGGAGGCAGTTGGGCAGACAGGACGGTTATATGTTCGTTTGTATAAATTGTACGGGCAGTCTACGCGTGATACTAGATTTGTGTCTCCCTGCATGGTATGGCTAGGAGAGAAGGGTCAGTCCTGCTGCTTTCGCCGTTGGTTTGTCGAGAAGAACCTTTCAGCCTGATGGCGAACAGGAGCGTTGTGCTATCGTGAGGTATGAGGTGTGGGTTGTAGCACACCAAAACAATTTTGTGTCGCCCATGGTGGTGTTACTATGCGGTTTCTTTTTTTGTAGTTTTTTTGCGAGAAATCTCTTGTTCTTCGAATGTTCGGCCCGCAAAATAATCGAAAGGTTATGTTGCGGTGATGTGGCCGCTCGAGGTCTCTTGACTGGCTTACTGGCAAAGATGGCCATTCTGAGGGTTCAATTCCTTTGGCCTGGCTGCGCGAGCATATCCTCTTGAGACTTGTGTTCGTCTCAGCACGTCTTCGTCGGCGGCGGCACACGCAGAACTCACGCGTGCGCGAGGTGCGGGGTTTATCCGGCTATAGCTTTTTGCCGCGATCTCAAGCCAAATGAGCGATCCGATGTACAGCAGTATCGCACGTCTTCCGTCCCTAGAAAATCTTCGAGTGGTTCGGTACAACAGTGGTTTCGTGAGCGTTGCGCAAGGTTGTTATCAGCTGTGTTGACAAAGCCACCACTTTTGCTTCAAGACACGGAGTGGCGATGGAATGCATCGAAGACCTCCTGCCGAAATCTCCCTTTGTGCCCCTTCTTGAATTGCTGCAAATATGTATGCGGTGCAATATGTGATGGAATCGTCCTCCCACCACCACCACGGACAGTGGATGGTTTTCGTCCTTGCCTCCGCTCGAAAAGTTGCCAAGTCTTCCATTTTTTGTCGTGTCCGGTCCAAGGCCTTCAATCAAACTCACGGCGTCAAAATCGGCAGATCGATTGGTGAGTTATTGATTTGAGTTAGTTTTGTCCGTCTTCGCTTGTGAATTGTCGTGGCGCACCGTCCCTCATCATGTCAACGACCGCCATAGAGAAAAAAAAAATTACCTAGAGTCTCGTAGAAGACCATCACGGTTTCCTGAGGCATGCTGCGTTGCCAATGAAAAACATGAAGCTTGTTTCCTTCCCCCCCGTTCCTCAATGGAAAACTATGCTCAAGGAGAACGGCAACAAATGTTTTTCATCTACGATAATTGGCACGGTTCAGGGGGGGTGTTATCTTAAGTCACCTACTTGAGGTACATTCGTCACGTGACGGCTTCGACTACGGAACAACCAAACAAAACTGGAGGGGAAGAAACCTAGGAGAAAGGTCTCCTCGTTGTGTTCCCAGATGCTTCAGAGTGATATGCGAAGGCCAAAAAATGCGTCAAGATATGACTGCTGCTGTTGTTCCGAATTTTTCCGGTCAAATGCATCGTCAGCCGCAAGCGCCCCCATGCCAACAAAAACATCGTGGTTTCCTGGAACAGAGGACAAAGCAAGCCTTGAGAAAGACACCGAATTTGAAAGGGGAAACGACAATAGATGTTTTGAAGTCTACCCGAATGAGGAGCCAATTGCCGTCACCATCTGTCAGGCGGGAATGCGATTATCATTGGGGAAAACGGCAATATTTTTGTGTCAAATCCACCCGGACAAAAAAATCGCTATCACCATCTTGTAAGTCCTTTGCTCTCTTCCCTACTATCTCAGGTCAACAGCGCCCTTCCTGCGGGGCTTTGCATATTCCGTACACAACCGTTTGTGGACCCCTCTGTTTACTCTTCCACCACGACATCCCCACGAACCTCCTCCTCCTCCGTCTTTCGCAAGGCTGCACTTACCCATGGTCTGTCCTCTGTTCCCCTTGGCGTTCTGCCACCGCGAGCCACACAGCCCCATGTTCTTTTGGGGGAGGGGTTAACCCACCACCTAGTCTACGGCAGTCGTTTCTCGGAACGGTCGGATTGTTACGGTTTCATGCCGGATGAAGGCCGGGATAAGCCGTTCGTTCGACCCTAAATTGAACCCTACCCTCTCGCCCCCTACCATTCGTACCGTGATACGTCGGAACCCACAACTGCTCAAGAAACCCAAATATTTTGTGTGTTGTTTGCGTGTGTTTTGTTTTTGCCCCGCCCCGTCCTCTCGAGGACGCGTGGTCAATGGTCTAACAACAGTGCGCAACACATGACTCCGCCCCTCCCACCTCCATACTGTAGGAGTAAAAATCAATAAGACAATCAGGGCACTGATCCAAAAAGAATAAAAAAACATGTTATTAGGCCCATGTTTATGGTCACCAAATCTTTGAAAAAAATTTCAAATGTTTCCAAACATTTATTTGCGTGCGAATATTTGTCAGAGGAAGATTTGAGTACCGCTGTTATGGGAACGAGAAAAATATCTTCGGCGGGACTGTGAGTTTCGGAGGCGTTTTGGTTCGTTTTCATAAAGCACGCGGCACGGGGCCTCCTTCTCTCTCACGAGCAACACGCGCGCACCAGCTGGCGCACACAACTGTAGTTATAACTTTCCACGCCCATACACATACACACGCCAGACACACGCCACACCACACACACGTCACGCACACACCCCGGTGGTCTCCGAGTTCGACACAGCAGCATCCCGCAAATTACAATGGCAGTCGATTTCTCGAAGTCACAGAAGGCGCCCATGCTTCTCAACGATCTCTCGGAGGACGTCATGTTCGCCTTACGGAAGTTCTGCGGCACCTACGGCAACAAGACCATGACCCAGCCTGCCCTCAAGATGCTTCAGCCGATACCACTCGTCCGCTCTGCTCTAGCAGTCAAGGAGGCAGACAAGATGTCTGCAGCACCGTGAAACCTGGCAGCGTCAAAGTGTATGCAAGAGATCGCGGTTCGTGGTTTCATCAAGCTCATCGAGTACGCCCTGAGCACCATGGACGGGCCGCTGCAGATGCCTCACAAGTGAAAGGACATGGTGTACTACACGACCCTTGGTTCAGGTGTGTATCTAATGTGGCTACATCAATTCGTGACACGTACCGAAGACTTATGTTGTGTTGTGCTGGTCGTGTGATGGCACGCCCGACCATCATGTGGAATGTACCAAATAGTTGCAACGGCTTGAATTTGATGCAGACGTATGCATTCTCACGAACACAGCAGTAGAGTAGGCATGCCATGCGAGTGAAAGGACGCACTTGCGGGCCTTTTCTGTCCACCGAATAAGAAATACAGGTGCTGTGGGAGAGGTCGATTGGACCGGAGCTGGCATTTTGGCATGTACGACGCACATATATTATCTGAAGAGGAGTGTAGATAATTTTGATCAAGCGGTTGCAGGTGCACCACGTGTGGTGTTCGTGAGTGGCAGTACCAGCGATCCACCTGCCACCTGCTATGTTGAGGATTATGGATAGTTCTAGGCACCTTTTGCAACACGGGTTGGAGTCAGGGTTCGTTTTGCTGGCAACAGCAGTAGTGGTATTCGCGAAAGTTTTGTTGCCAACAGCAGGAGTATTCGCGAAACCATTCACCTCCCTCCAACGGTGTCTCCATGCATGCATGTGGTTTATGGTTCGCGGCCGATGCGTGTTAGATGTCTGGCGTTACTCTCTGAAAAAGGGGAAGTCTAAGCCATGAGTTTCCGGGACGTCTGCGATTTGTTTGTGGGTGGAGACGCAGACAGACACACACCGACACCACCCGCAGCAGCAGCAGCAGCAGCAGCGGAAACAGCACTATTAGTCGACAACACCTCTGCTTGCATAGACATTCCAGCCCCGAACGAATTCGCTGCCATGCCTGAATCAGAGGCAAGAGGGCACACGTTGACGACACGTTCACCACGAGACAAGGTGCTGCTCCGCCTCCAAAAATGCACACAAATAGCGGACTTCCTCTTGCTCCCACACGCGCTGTTGCCGTTTGAAATGTATCGCAGGCACCTCCAAGGCGAAGACCTTCATGGAGAAACCGTCGACCGTCCTAACCAAGTGCAAGAGCTACAAGGCCGAGTACACGAAAGTGTGGCTCTGGCTTGACACGTAAGTTTTGCGGGCAAGTCGGATTCTCAGCGCAGCGTATTTCCCTCTCTCGTGGCGTCGCACACTCCGAAAACCGGGAGACGAAAGCAATGCAACCCTAATTTCGTGTGTGGAAAACAAAATCGACGGTGCTTGACGTGAGGATCTTCGTAAAATCACGAGGGTTCTTCATGCCTGTGTTGGTCAAGCATGTGTGTGCGTGCGTGTGTTTGTCGTTAAGTAGTCTACACAAAACGGGAGGATGAAGACACACACACACTTTCATTGGTCAGCCGGTTAGCGCGGTCGATGCCAAAAATTAAAATACAAACACACACATAGCGACAGAGACATGGACAAGGGAGGAGGGAGACACACCACCGGGAGAGCGAGACGGGAGGGTGTGCCCTGTACTACTGCTGTTGGCTATCGGTGGAGTAAGCGAGAGAAGCGAAGAAGCGTTTGGTTGTTGTGCGTCGTTGTTGTTGCGCGCTTTTTGCCAGCAGCGTTTTTTTTTTCGCATGAATCAGCGAGAGAGGCCCTTCTTGGAAGAGAGAGCCACACCAACACGCTACTAGACGCCACCATTGATTGTGCATGCACTGCTGTGCACCTCATTTTACTTTTGTGCGAGGGCCTTCTGCTGTGGAGTGTCACCTGTGCCTTCCCTGCTAGTCTGGTCACCTATCAAACGCGTGCCTTTGAGTTGCCAATTCAAAAACAGGAAAGAAACATATAGATAATGGGCACATATTGTTTTTCTGCTAGATGATTGCCACCCCCCCCAGGATTCGAAACGCACCAGCGTACTGCAGGTATATAGCTTGTACTTCCCACCCTCTAGTTTTGCCCTGCGCAAAATGAATGACATGACGTAGTTGGGCGTGCCTCGTCGTAAACAAAAAATAACGAAGCCGGGACAGCGGCAACACTAAAGGTTGAACACTTGTTACTACGCGTGGTCGAAAACACTGCTGTGATATAACAACGTGACCGCTCACCTCGAATCCGTTTTGTTCCCTGTGCGTTTTTCGTTTTGTGTCAGGAACGACAAGAACACACCGTCTGAGCTGCCGTCTGGGACCAACACTCAGGACTCCCTAGAGGAGCTCAACGACGCCATGTGGTTCGAGTCGGACATGTACAAGCGGGACAAGGCTAGATCGGACAAGGCAG